AGCTGACAGTGGTCTGCGTGAGGAGGAGTGGAGCAGCTGCAGGTGGGGCAGTTCTAGTGAGTGGCCCTGGAGAGCATGAGAGAGCCCTTGGGTGAAGGCTGTCACCACCAGGGAGGACAAGGTCCGGGGCTGGAGGGTCAGGCTGTTGGACACTGACATGCCCAGAAGGTGGGACCTGGGTGGAGAGGAGTGTGTACATGGCGCTGGCCAGGACACAGGGCAGCCACCGTGACTAGGAGTTGAATGAGGGGCCTCTACCTGCTGTGTGAAGAGAGGCCTGGGGGCAGCCCTGCCAATGGGGACCCCAGTGTGGCCCCTACCCTGAGGTTTGTGACCCAGGGCAATAAGCGCCTCCAGGTAGAAGGCAGCAGGTGAAGGGCTGGTGTCACTGAACATGGTCAGGGGAAAGGTGGAGGCCCTGAGGGCCTTCATCCAGTAGAGGGCATGACGAGGCTTTGGGGGGCGGGAGGCCAGGTATGGACCAGGGGGCACACACACACAGGGCAGCACAGGGACATGGGGAAGCTGGGTTGGGGTGGAGGGTGAGACTCACAGGGACTCAGTCCTGGAGGGCTTACAGAGGACACTGCAAACAGTCCATCTGAGCTTCAGCAGGTCGTGTGAGATGCTGTTCTTCAGATGGTTGGTGATTAGCTTCATCTCTGCTGACCTCTGACAGTTTCCAATGCCTGGGATTGATGAAAACGTGTGACTGATAGAGCTTTTCTAATTTAATCTAATTTCTTTTTATTTAGGTCAGGGAGTGGTAAAACCGTCTCAAATGTGATTGTAGAGTCACACAACTCTGACAATGAAGAGGATGATCAATTTGTGGTGGAAGCTGCCCCTCAGCTCTCTGAAATGTCAGAAATTGAAATGGTTAGTTAACCAAAATGTGGTAGTTTTTAATAATCATGCGTTGCCTACATTGAGATTAATACTGTAGCTTTTAGATTTATGTAGACAAAAATTTCCTATAATTTTTCAGTTAGTTTTCTACTTTCATTAATTTTCTTGTTCCATTTTTGAGATCCACAGCAAGCCTGTGGATTTTTAGAATTCAGCAAGCCTGAACCCTCTTTTTCCCCTTCCTTTTCTGCTTAGGTAGCAGCAGTGGAACTAGAAGAGGAGAAGCATGGTGAGTCCTGGCGCAACTGTGCACGCGTGTCTGTGCCCACGCATCTTCTCCACGTGTGCTTGGAAAGGATCCAGTGCAAGGCACTGTTGTGTGCCGTGTTCTGGTCTGGGTCACACTGGCGGGGTCACACCGGCAGCACATAGGACCCTGTGGGCATGGATTTCTCTGAGGCGATGGCTGCTGCTCCCCATCCGTAGAGGAGCGGGAGGGCACTGCTGGACGCTGCACACTGGCGGGGAAGTGTCCTGCAGATGACGTCTTGTCTCATCTGTATGGTTAGACTGTGGGAATAGATGATCTCTGAGGCCCTGCCCAAGTCGAGTTCTGGATGTTATTGTTGGTTTTCTAGCTGCTCACCTCAGTAGTGCAAGCCCCGCTCCCTGCACCAGGGTTTGAGTATCTAGGAGCACAGCTTCTGTGGAAGAGGCAGGCTGAATACTTTCCCTTTATTTCCCACAATGTGACTTTGTTTCCTGGCACCATCACAGGTGACCAATGAGGGATTATTGGTTTTGGGGTTTTTTTGGGTGTCTATATGAATCTTTTTTTCTTGTTTTGAGGCGAAGTCTCACTCTTACCTAGGCTGGAGTGCCATGGTGTGATCTTGGCTCACTGCAATCTCTGCCTCCCAGGTTCAAGCAATTCTCGTGCCTCAGCCTGACAAGTAGCTGGGACTACAGGTGCCTGCCACCATGCTTGGGCAATTTTTGTGTTTTTAGTAGAGACAGGATTTCACCACATTGGCCAGGGTGGTCTCAAACTCCTAACCTCAAGTGATCTACCTGCCTTGGCCTCCCAAATGCTGAGAATACAGGCGTGGGCCACTGTGCTTGGCCTAGTCACAGATTTGTAACATCGTGGACATGTTTCATTTCGGCCCCTCTCAGTTTTTCTTAGTAATGTTCAGATTGCCCAGTATTTGACCACAGGAGCCTGTTGGAGCTATTTTCTGGGGACCTTTAGACACATCCCAGTACAGTTTGTTGCTTCCTTGTTTTCTCATACGACAAGGCGTTTCTGCCCCATAACGGCCTCATTTCTCCAAGGAACCTGGCCGCTTATTGCTCTGGGTTGGTTCTTGTTTCCAGACGTTTTCACTGCATAAAGCAGGAATATAGTTTTTTAAAATAAGAAAGTATATTCTGACTTGGTGCTGATATTTCCAATTCCAATTTAGGATTTCAGGGCTCTGTCTGCGTTCTTTGATTTTATATGTGCATCTCTTCCATGTCCTGCCAAAAAGCTTGGCTCCCAGCAGCGGCAGCTGTCCCCATGCTTTACGACCTTTCACATGCTCACACAGCAGTTTTAGAACACCACCACTGTTTTTTAACAACAATAGGATTGCTGGAAACTATAGATTTTTTTTTTTTTGGTAGATGTGTATGTCTCTTTGTTGGGTATATCCTATTGGGGATATACAGTTAAGTCCTCTGTTTTAAAGTTATGAAACAATTTTTTCTCTAGTGGCTCATGCTTGCCAATTGGATATCACTAAGTTTATTTCATTTTGCATTCAATCTTTAGGCATGAGTGTTTACCTTTTTAATGTAAGATAACTCACATGGTTTTAAGGTTAGATGTACAAAACCAGGTATAATCAGAAATGTGGGGCTTTGACCCCTGTCTCCTCCACCCTCTACTCTCCCTCTCCATGGAGGTAACGGTGAAAAATAGGGCTTATACTTACATTTAAAAAGTAAGTAAATAAGTGCATGTGCATGTGCATGTGTATTTACTGATTCCTACACTTGTTTCCATCTTGCACTTCTTTTAACTTGGCAGTAGATGCAGGCATCCATTGCGCAGCAGTGCAGAGAAACCTCCCCATTCCTCTCCACAGCCACACACCCTACACCAAGGGCACGCTCCGTTTTTATTCAGTCAGTCCCAGGCTCATGCATGCCTGGGTGAAACACTTACTTCAAAACACTTTCCATGGGCTTTTATCCCATGGGTAAATTCTGAAAGAAATGGAATATTCTTGCCCCAATATAAAAGAAGTATTAGTACTTAGAAGCAATTCATAATTCTTATTTCTGTTCATCATAGATGGCAATATTTTTGGCTGTCATTCTACATTCCTTTTTAATCTTTGAAAAGAGAAAATCTGTTTTATTTCTAAAGCTTTTTACTTTTCAAGGAGCTTAGTTCCCTGAAACACTTTGAAATTTTATAATTTCTACCACCAGCTGTCATATCACTCTTGTATACTATCTCCTTGACAAATGAAGATGATTTGGAACTGTTTAAAAAGAGATAGCATAAAAACTTAGTGTTTTTCCCATCACCCTACCCATTTAGAATCAACTTTTAACATAAAATCACTGATTTTTCAACAGGTGGACTTGTGAAAAAAATTTTGGAGACTAAGAAAGATTATGAGAAATTGCAGCAGTCACTCAAACCTGGGGAGAAGGTAATGAAGTGATTTTCCGTAAACACTGGCATTTTAGCAGTCTGTCTCATGCATTTACAGACTTTTAAAAATTAGAAGGATCTTTCAAAAATTACCATTATTAGTGATGTCTGTTTGCATATTTAAATGCTATTCCTTGCCAGGTGTGGTGGCTCACGCTTGCAATCCCAACACTTTGGGAGGCCAGGGCAGGTAGATTACTTGAGCCCAGAAGTTCAAGACAAGCCTGGGCAACATGGCGAAACCCTGTCTTTGCAAAAAATATAAAAACTAGCCAGGTGTGGTGGTGCATGCCTGTAGTCCCAGCTACTTGTGGGCCTGAGGCAGGAGAATTGCTTGAACCTGAGAGGTAGAGGTTGTAGTGAGCTGAGATTGCGCCACTGCACTCCAGCCTGGGTGACCGAGTGAGACCCTGCCTCAGAAAGAAAAAAATATATATAATTCCTCCCTGCTCCCAATTGGGAGGATATAAAGTATGGGACTCTCTGTGTGGGGCTGCTTCCCTGGCCTGGTGTACAGCCCTGTCTTGGGAGGCGGCAGTGGCTTGCTTGGGAAGCTGAGGAGCCAAGAGCCAAAGCCCTGTTGGGCTCTGACGTCCTGACTCTCCCCTTCCAGCCTTGCCCATCCCTTCTCCCAGGTTCTGTTTGCAGACCGAGAGCCTGGCTGCCTGGCCGCCTGGCCTTGGCTGATTGCGAAGTAAGAGGCTGCACAGTGTTTTTAAGGCTGCGTTCTAAATGTGTGTTCTATTATACCTGGCTCCCTGCAGTCCTCTTTACACATGTGTGATGTGATTTTGTTGGGACCTGTGGCCTCTTGCCAGCCACTGCCCTTTCCTTGAGCACAAGGCCATGGGGGCGAGCACCTGTGGGCCAGAGGGGTGTGCCTCAAATGCCACAGGCAGGTTTCTCTTACAGTGACTTTAAAGAGGAAGAATATATTTTTTTCTTTTAAACAGGAGTTTTTTGTATAGTTAGTCTAATCACTCAACAGTTTAAAAAAGTTTTATATATGGGGGTGTGCACACACACACATGCACACATATATGTATTTTTCTGCAGCTGAATTAATGGTTGTTTTAGATAATTCTGCTTAACATGTCCTAGTTTGTCATGAAGCTAGGGCTTGAAATAGCCAATGAGAACTGTACAATTGAGACTAACAGTAGAGGGAGCCCTTTTCACAATAACAACTGGGAAAGTCGTCAAAGGAGGCTTTGCTGACATTACCACTATTTGCTGAGAGGAGAAATGCCTTCTACAGCCTGTTTCTGTTGGATGTTGATACCCCATAGTCCTTTCCACATGCATGAGGGGTGGTCCTGGTGTTCCTGGTGGTGGTTCTGACACCCAGTCAAAAACCTTGAATCTGTTCCTCCAAGCTCCTAGTGGAGGTCACCTTTGAAGCATCCATTGGTTTAAATTTTATAGCCATGCTGTTTATACAGAGCATATTAGGATTGTGTTTCAAAGTGTCCTTGGAAGATTAAATTGTTTCAGATTGATAAATCTTTTGGCTTCAGAAGATAAAAGGAAAAATGTCTTTTTTTTTGTGAACATCTACTGCTTTGAAAAAGAGTAATTAGTGAGTACTTCAAAGTCAGGTGTGTTGTATGTGGCAGTTAGACAGGGAGACAGCAAGTGTCTGTGTGATTTTCTTTGGGATATTGATAAACATCAGACTTTAACTTGTTGGTCTTCTTAAAACATTTTTGTTACCTTTATTTTTTTGAGACGGAGCCTTCCTCTGTCGCCAGGCTGGAGTGCAGTGGTGCGATCTCAGCTCACTGCAACCTCCGCCTCCTGGGTTCAAGCAATTCTGCCTTAGCCTCCCGAGTAGCTGGGACTATAGGCATGCGCCACCACCCCCAGCTAATTTTTGTATTTTAGTAGAGACGGGGTTTCACCATGTTGGCCAGGATGGCATTGATATGACCTCGTGATCCATCTGCCTCGGCCTCCCCAAGTGCTGGGATTACAGGCGTGAGCCACCATGCCTGGCCAGCTACTTTTTTTTTTTTTTTTTTTTAAATAAATAAAAATGTGGCCAGGCATGGTGGCTTATACCTGTAATCCCAGCATTTTGAGAAGCCAAGGTGGGCGGATTGCTTGAGGCCATGAGTTTGAGATCAGCCTGGCCAACATGGCCAAACCCCCTCTCTACTAAAAATACAAAAATTAGCTGGGCATAGTGGTGCACACTTGTAGTCTCAGCTACTCAGGAGGCCGAAGCGTAAGAATCGCTTGGTCCCAGGAGGCAGTGGTTGTATTAAGTGGTGATTGCGCCACTGCTCTCCCGCCTGGATGACAGAGCAAGACTGTCTTAAAAAGAAAACCTGTAGGAAGAGCCAAAGTCCTTTGTTCCCCTGCCCCAGTCTCGTTCCCCTGAGGGCAGTCCCTAGGATGAACTTGGTGTGTATCTCTACTTTGCATGTACATTGTGAAGTTTTGTGAGTTTCTAATGCCATCTTATTGTTGATCTGTTAGGCAGGTTGCTTTCAAGAGCCAGTGTCTCTTCCAGCAAGATTCAGGCCACTTTCTGTGAAGAGCCAGATAGTAAATACTTTAGGTTTTTTTGAGCCAGATGGTCTCTGTTGCAGCCATTGAACTCAGCCAATGTAGCATGAATGCAGCATTAGACAATGTAAACGCACGTGTGCGGCTATACTCAATAAAACGCACTTTACCAAAACAAGGTCTAGGCTGTGGGCCGCAGTTTACTGATCTCAGCGTTGGGGGCTGTGCCCAGGCTTAGAAGTGCTGTGCCAGGAAGTACACAGATCTTTAGTTTCACCAGATAGGCCACTCCTCAAAGTGCCTGTACCAGTGTATTCTCCCAGTAGAACGACTGTCTGTTTCCAAACATCTGTGCCAGCCACAGTCAAGATAGTCAACATGCTCATCACCCTCCAGTGTCAAGTGCCCTTGGTGCGCCCATCCTCCAGCCCATCTCCGTGTTCCCCTTTCCCCATGCCCCATCCCCCAGCAGCCACTCGTCTGCCCTGAATCACTGTGCTTTATAGTTTGCATTTCCGAGATTTGTGTTTAAGTGGAATCATGTGATGTGCACTCTTTTGAGTTTTTTTTTTTTTTTTTTTTCCCAGTGTGGCCTTTACTCAGCATAATTATTCTGAGATTTATCCATGCTGTTACAGCATGTATCCATAGGTTCTTCCTTTTTATTGCTAAGTAGTATTCCATTGTGTAGATATACCACAGTGTGTCCATCCATTTATCAGTGGATGAACATTTCCGTTGTTTCTAGTTTGGACGATTATAAATAAAGCTGCCGTGGACATTCATGTTCAAGTCTTTGTGTCAGCAGATGCTTTCATTATGTTGTGTCAGTACAGTAGCACCCTTTTTATTTGCAGGGCTTGTGCTCCAAGACCCCTCGTGGATGCCTGAGGCTGTGGATAGTCCCAAACCCTGTATATACCATGTTTTCTCATGATGCATTCTGATGACAAAGTTTAATTTGTGAATTAGGTTCGGTAAGAGATTGACCATAACTGATATTAAACAGAACCATTTTAACAATATGTCAGCATCACTCTCTTGTACTTTGCAGCCACAGTTAAATAAAATAAGGGTTGCTTTACCACAAGCACTGGGATATCACCACAGTCTAGACCACCTGATAACCGAGAGGGCTGCTAAGTAACTGACAGGCAGATAGTGTGTACAGTGTGTATATGTACTGGACAAGGGGTGATTTATGTCCTGGTAGAACTGTACAAGACTTATCACACTACTCAGAATGGCGTGCAATTTAAAACTTACAAATGAATTGTTTATTTCTGGAATTTTTCATTTAATATTTTCAGACTACAGGTAACTGAAACTGCAGGAAGTGAAACTATGGGTGGGGGTCAGGACTGTTGTACCTAGGGGTGGGACGGCTGAGGCATGTGGTAAATACGTGCTTTTTAAAAAACTGCCAGACTGTAGGGCTGGGTGCTGTGGCTCACACCTGTAATCCCAGCCCTTTGGGAAGCCAAAGTGTGAGAATCATTTGAAGCCAGGATTTTAAGACCAGCCTGTGCAACATAGAAACCATGTCTCTACAGAGAAACAAAAAAATTGCCAAACTGTGTTGCAAAGTGGTTGTATCATTTTGCATTCCTACCAGCAGTGTGTAAGAGCCCCAGTTCCTTCACATCCTCATCAGCACTAGATATGGTCAAACTTTGAAATTTTCATGGTTGTAATTTGTGTGTGTGTGTTTTTTTTTTTTTTTTTGAGATGGAGTCTCACTCTGTTGCCAGGCTGGAGTGTAGTGGCGTGATCTCAGCTCAGTGCAACCTCTGACTCCCAGGTTCAAGCGATTCTCCTGCCTCAGCCTCCGGAGTAGCTATGACTACAGGTGCCCACCACCACGCCCAGCTAAATTTTGTATTTTTAGTAGAGGCGGGGTTTCGCCATGTTGGCCAGGATGGCCTTGATCTCTTGACCTTGTGATCCACCTGCCTTGGCCTCCCAAAGTGCAGGGATTATCGGTGTGAGTCAACAATTTGCATTTTCTTAATGGCTATTGATGTTCAATATCTATCCTATGGTTGTATATATAACATATAATGGCACCTAAGCCCTTGTGTCTCATATGTTGTAAATATTTTTCCAGTCTGTCACTTGTCTAGACTTTGCCTTCTTATTTAAAAAACGTTTTTATTTATTATTATTATTTTATTATTTTTTTGAGACAGAGTCTGGCTCTGCTGCCTAGGCTGGAGTGCAGTGGTGTAAGGATCTCAGTTCACTGCATCCTCTGCCTCCCAGGCTCAAGTGATCCTCCCAACTCAGCCTCCCAAGTAGCTGGGACTGCAGGCACATGCTACCACACCTGGCTAATTTTTATATTTTTTGTAGTGGGGTTTTGCCATGGTTTCTTAGGCTGGTCTTGATCTCCTAGGCTCAAGTGATCCTTCTGCCTTGGCCTCCCAAAGTGAGCCACTGCACCTGGCCAGACTTCTGTATTTTGATATAAAATTTAAATAGCTTTTT